TAACCTGCAAATTATTGACTTGAACATAACCCGACTTGAATCCGAGAATGTCCCGACTTGGAAATGACCCAACCTGGTTATAACCCGCAAATTATTAACTTGAACCCGAGAATGACCTGACTTGAAAAATGACCCGACCTGATTATAATCCGCAAATTATTGACTTGAACCGAACCCTACTCAACCTGAGAATGACCCGACCTGATTCTAACCCGCGAATTATTGACTTGAACCGAACCCGACTTGAATCCAAGAATTACCCGAACTTGTTTTAACCCGTACCCGACCTATTGTTCACCCGACTCGAATGTAACCCAACCTGTTATTAACCCGACCTGAACCCGACCCCAAACCCGATAAGAAGTATGACCCGACGTGACCCGACTCAAGCATGACCCAACCCAAACCCGACCCGCATAGGTTATGGAATTAATCTGAATTGACCCGACCCGAGTTGACCCGACTCACTTTTACCCGATCCAAACCCGACTCGTTTACCCGAATTAACAGCTCTACTTAAAACCAAAAAAAATTTAAAATGATGATGTCATCTAGAATTTTAAAACCTAGGGTTAATCTAGCTCTAAACACAAGGTATTAATAATCAAATTCTCCCCTAAGCTAGTTTGTAGGTTTGAAAGTTGTATTTTACAACTTCTTTACACGAGCTTCCAAGATTTTAAATTAATTTTAAAAGTCTTGTGATTTATTCTCTTCAAACTTATCTAGATTAAACTTATTGTGACTAAATTTATGAGTGTTTTTAACACTTCAAAAACGCAGATTATAACATTTAATTTTTGACAACTTTTGATTTTTTCAAGCGTGAAAAGAAAAGATGATAATGTATTTCTTATGTATCCCATGGAATCTTGTGAGACCATTTAGTTGATTGAAATCATTCACGAAAGTGCCTCGTGAGGCTTATTTTGTGCCCAAAATTATCTAATTCAAGTCTTGCCTCGCCTTTTACATACTTTATCTATTTTTATTTATTTTTACTTTTATAATTACAACATTTCGAATTTAATATTTATCATTCCATATAATCATTTCGTAAAGTTAAATTATAAAAACGGTTGTAAATTTAACAAATATAAAATCATGACGCAAATGGCTATATTATATTTTATTCTTGACACTTACGAGTATGTTCTTTTTTTTTTTTTTTTTTTTGAGGAAATACTTACGAGTATGATAGTATGCGGTTATATAGTAATTTGTGGTTGGTACACCCGGGTGCACCGCATGGTGCACCCAAAAGAACATTTAGTATATTTAAAAGAACATGGGTGAAAAATGAACATGTTTTTATTTTCTTGCAACTGTAAATCCATCACTCTCTTCTCCTGCAATTTCTCACTCCTCTTTCCCTTCCTATCACTCTCTTTCTTGCCGCCAATTTTTACTCTCCTTTACACCATCGTTTTCATTTAAGAATTTCAATGAATTTGGGTAAAAATCATTTCCAAAGTACTCATTTTCTCTCTCCATAACTTTTCTCTCTATCTTTTTCTGTTTTTCAAAAAAAATTCAAAATAGCAAAATTGTTCATCTTCAAAGTGAAACCTAAGAAAAAAATTGAACTTATTTCAACAATTCAACCTTCAAACTTAAACAAATGGTGGATTCAAGTAAAATGTAAGTATAAATTTTGTACATGCAAATTGTTTTTCGTCAATAATTTTAAAGTCAAAGTGTACTGTTTAATTTTGTGAATTTGGGGTTTTTAAAAAAAAAAAAATAATTAAAGCTATAAAGTACAAGTTGTTCAAAAAAGAACAATTAGAGGAGAAAGAAGAATAGTAATGAATTGAAGCCAACTGGAAGATAACCAAGCAAGGTTAATTTTTCAAACACTAGCTTGTTCTTTTTCAAACACTAACATGTTCTTTTTATTCCATGTTCTTTAAAAATATGCTTAATGTTCTTTTCGGAGGTCATGTTCTTTGTCAAACACAAACATGTCCTTTTGTTGAACATTATTATGCATGTTCATTTTCAAATACTAGCATGTTCTTTTTCAAACACTGGCTTGTTCTTTTTTAAACACTAACATGTTCTTTTTATTCCATGTTCTTTAAAATATGTCTAATGTTCTTTTCGGAGGCCATGTTCTTTGTCAAACACAAATATGTTCTTGTGTTGAACACTATTATGCATGTTCTTTTTCAAATACTAGCATGTTCTTTTTCAAACACTCGTATGTTCTTTTTTTTTTCCTCATGTTCTTTTAAAATAAGCCTAATATTCTTTCCGGGTGCACCCAGGTGCACTATACTATTTTCAGTTATATAGCCATAAGGCCGCTTGTGTAGAGAGTTGCATGCTCTTGATAAAGATTCTGATCCATTGACCATTGTATAGACACTTTCACGCTTTGGGTTTCAAAAGTGATTAAAAGGCCCCTTTTATAGATGAGCTATGCTAAATGATCCAATACTCGTTTCCTATTTTGGGTTTTTTAACCCATAAATCCATAAAACGCTTGCAAACTTTGCGATTTTGGTTTCATTTGGTTTGGTTTAGATTATAGTATACACCTTTAGATGCGTTTCAAATAATCTTCTATGCAAGTAGCATATTATACCATCTTTGAGGAAATAAATTATACGTCTAACGATGAGATAGATTAAACGTCTAAGATGCTACATGTGAAGTATAAGATTATTATCATATGTTCTATGTTTAATACAAATATGATATATCCCATGCATTAGCATGTGTATATTCAAATAATTTTGAAATGAAAAAGGTAATTAATGCTCTTATTAGGAACTTTCATAACTTAAAACTTATTAAATTATTCTGTACTGAGTAGTAGTTTATGAGATCGAAAATTGTGAAAATATATGGTTAATGAAGTTTGAATTCAATTAGTGAAAAAAAAATCAAGTTCTCAATTTGTTGATAGAGATGCTTGTCGGTGCGTACACATTTTACACATGTTCAATTTGGACAAGATAAGAATGAGGGAGAATAGTTTAGGCGATATTTTTTTTTATGTATGAAGTATACTTTATTTGTTCAAAGGTTCTTGTACTACATATAATTTTCACATATACGAAAATATAGAATTGAACCCTAATATATATACATATACATACTATGCATTAGCATGAGTACATTCAAATTATTTTGAAATGAAAAAGGTAATTAATGCTTCGATCTATTAGGAACTTTCATAGCTTAAAGCTTATAGAATTATTCTGTAATAGTTTATGAGATCGAAAATTGTGAAAATATACGGCTAAAAAAGTTTGGATTCAATTAGTGAAAAAACGAATTAAATAAATTCTCAGGGCCTGTTCTTTTTCGTTGAAATTCAGTTCAGTTCAGCTCTTAATTTATGTCTAATGATATTGCTAATGATATAAAGCCAAATTCCATTCTTTTAAGCTCTTATTACAACGACGACGACGACAACAACAACAACAACAATAATAATTGAAATAATAATACTAATAATAATAATCAATAAATAATAATAATAATCATCATTAAATAATAATAATAACAATAATAATAACAATAATAATAACAATAATAATAATAATACTAATAATAATACATAATAATAATCAATAAATAATAATAATAATAATAATAATAATGATCATCAATAATTAATAAAAATAATAATAACAATAATAATATTGATACAATTCATTGTTCAAATGGTTCTATTTTTTTGATACATATTTCTAATGTTAATCTCATTGAGAAAATTAGAGTACTACACAACTTAAACTAATTTTCATAGTCAGTTAGTTCATCGTCTTCTTCTTGTCCACCAAACTCCTCCATTACCTCGGCATTCCTCTGAACTGACTCCCATATCTGATTAGTTATCCGTAGTTAAAAATCACTAATTAATAAGTTTAGTTCAGTTCAGCTCAGTTCAGTTCAGTCAATCGGAACAGGCCCTCAATTTGTTGATTGAGATGTTTGTCGGTGCTTATACACATTTTGCACATGATCAATTTGGACAAGATAAGAATGAGGGAGAATAGCTTAGGCAATATTTTCTTTATGTACGAAGTATACTTTATTTGTTCAAAGGTTCCTTTAGTACATATTGTGTAATTTTCACATATACGAAGTATATATTCTAGGATATAGAATTGAACCCTAATCTTCCGTCATAGTTCTTGTCTACACCAACTAGTCACATAGAGCATCGGTTCTTCTTGAACTTTAGAATGTGCATCATGCATGGTATGGACTATGTTACTATTTCTGTACTACAGTCCAACAAAATCAAAAGAAAACTTCAAGGCTTTATCACATTAACCAAAACCCTACAATTGTTTTTGATAACCAACATCCAATAGCTTTTTCATCTTATTTTGAATTTGAATCGAAATTCTCTTTTTGAGTGGAATGAAAACATCTGTCACCCATTAAACTCGATATCCTGAATTCTATACTCCTAAATTCATAATTAATTGAAATAATTGGTAGCTTACCCAAATTGGGCTAGCATCATTAATTCAAGATACCTTAAATAGTTTATCTTAGCCAAGGGTCGTTAGAAACTATATTTAGCTAAAGCAAACAAAAGTATGACATATTGACATGTAGATAGTTAGATACCATGATCTAGACTAGAATCGATATTGACATGAACCAATCTACTCGAAAATTAATAACAGAAGATTATGCAATGAATATTTATTCAAACGTTTTAAAAATGTAATTATTTGATATCAAACTTTTATGTTATATATGCTACTTCCATTATCTGTTATGTGTAACTTTTGAATATTATAAGTATTTACGGTAGAGATAGTACGTCATTTGGCCATTAGTCCATTGCCAAGTGTTCCATTCACGAGAAGTTCGAAAAATGTAAAATGCACCTGTAATCCTGTATGGCACTCTAAAGGCTTAAAGGCCTTACCAACTGTGTAGTGGGACAACAACGATATAGGCTACTCATAGAACAAAAGATGCATAAAACAAGAACATATTAAAAAAATTACAGTAGAAACAACAACAAACTAGTCACATTAAAATCTCTCATATTATATAATTAAACATTGAACTTCCTCCCTAACAAAATTTCAGAGGACTGCCAAACACAATTTAACAAAATTAGGCAGTTCCTCTGATAAAACTCACCAACTAAGAAAAATAACTAATTAACCATACTTAATCAAGCTAATCAACCATACTTAAGGACTAAAAAATTGAAAACAACTTACATGGGACCCCTTATGCCACAAAATAGATGACATCCATTGTTCATGATGAAACCATGTTGATGTTGATTTCATTATCCCCAATTATACAAAATTGATGATGTCTTACTTGGATAATGCACTAATTAATCTTTAATTATATCCTAATTTAATCTCTTTTTTTTAACCTATGATTCCTTGATGCCATTGCATGGTATATATCCATGCACACACCACATAATAATAATAATAACTAATAATAATAAAATTAATATTACTAACCCATAAAAATTAAAGTAAAAACATACTAACCCATGAAAATTTTCACTCTAAAAAACCAGTTTTAGTTAAAATAGCATTTCTTACTTTACTAAGGTCTCTTCCTTTAAGAGTCCTTCCAATTCCTTCATAAACAGAGAAAGATGAAATCTGACTTCTTGCTAACTTCTTTGCTAAATACTCATGTGGTGGAACCATGTCATCATCATCATCCACATCATCATCATCACCATCATTACCATAGACATACCCATCACCATCATCATTCACATGACCATCATCATAACCATAACCATAACCATAACCATAACCATGACCATGACCATTGCCATTGCAATTACCATAATACCCTTGATGATTAACAGCATTATAATCAACCCATGATGATGCAGAACCACCATTCTTCTTCTTTTTTGATGTCACACCATAAATTTTTGACCAATCAGGAATCTCCAATGGTGCTGATGACATCTTCTCACATGATGATGTTGATGATGATGATGATGATGATGATTTGGGTATCATTCTTGCAGTAGCAGTAAATTTTTTTGTAGCAGAAGATGAATTTTTCAATGATTTTCTTAGTTTTGGACTTGAATTTTCTCTGCTTTCTAGAACATTCCCTACTTCTCCTTCTTCAAAGTCTTCATCTTTAACAAATTTTCTGCCTATTCTCCCTGCCATTTTTTTTTTCCTGGAATTTTAATCTGTGAAAATATAAATAGAAATTAATTAAATTAAACAAATTTGAAGGAAATTTTATATAAATGGTGAAATGGGTATGAGGAAAAACTGAAAAAGGAGCAGCAGAAAGTAAAGTTTAATGGGAAATGAGAGTTCATACACTCTGTATATAGGAAAGAAAATGACTTTTTTTTTTTTTTTTTTTTTTTGGGAGGTTAAGGGTTACAACTTACAAGTACAACTTCTATGTTGCAAGTATTTTTCTTGTGATGATTTATAAAGTGGGTTTATTAAAGATAAAATAGGTGGGAGCTCACTCACTTTATTGCATATAATAAACAAATTGCTCACTTTATTGCATAAAATAAACACTACGGAGGTATATACGGAGATACTGATTAATTTAATTTTAAAATAACAACTTAATTTGAAGATTTTAGTGAACTATTATAAAGTGGTCACATGTATCTATAAGGAGAGTACTTTATATTTGTTAGATGATCACATTATCCATAAGTATATACTACGGAGTACACCATATTAGTTGCAAAAAAGCGTGTGTTGGTGTAAATTATATCTTTTCTTTTTTAGCAATGTAACATATCTTAAGCGAACTACCATGACCACAATCACATAAAACATTATATTCATCATACTTAATTTATTTAAATTAAAAAAAATCATTTATATAATATACTAAGTATTTACATATTTATTATATTTTTTTTGTGGTCATTTTTGGTTGACGCAAGGAAAAATGAATTGGGTTTGTTGTACAAAATTAAGTAAGTCCATAAATCACATTAACTATATGAGCTAAATTGATTGAAATCTAGGTAGTCATAATTGGTTGTTTTGGTGAAAAGGAATAAAACCAGGAATCTTCCGTTGGCTTTTAGCTGGCAAATGCTTCCAAACAAAAACCTAGGGAAGTTAATGCAAAGTGAACTTCCAAATAAAGGAACAATGAAATTGGGCTACCTAGGTATTTAGGTAACTGTTAAAACAAGATTTTTCCCCTATTAAAACAACAGTATTATTAATGTTAAGTCATAATATATCTGAAAATTAGTTGTTCAGTAATTTATTTACCTGTATTTATATTTTTGAAGTTCATTATGGAATATGGAGTACAAATTTCTCATAGTTCAAATTAACATGTTTTGAATTTGATCAATGTTAATTTTTTTTTTACAATATCTGTTATTTATTAGAATAAAAAGAAAAATATGTAATTCAAGGGTCATATGATATATATAACAAATTAAATACCATTTAATCAAAGAAAATTCACGAAATTATTCACGAAATTTTGTTAATATGAATATCGAATACACACGTTATCGAAGAAAATTCACGAGTATTTGTTTATATAGTGTTTAATTTGTATGAATATCGAATGCAGACGTTAATTTTTGTAAAAATATGTACTAATTAAAATATACACCTCATTTATACTCGAACACAACTTCAAATCAGGAGTTTATCTAACGCTTAAATAAGATTTAAAGAAAACATGTAATTTGAGGGTCAGATCGTATCTACGAGTATATATAGCAAATAAGACACCGTATAATCAAAGAAAATTCATAAATATAGAATACACACGTTATCGAAGAAAATTCACGAATACTTGTTCATATAGTGTTTAATTAGTATGAATATGAAATGCATTAAATTTTTAAAAAAAACATACGAAGTACAAATTAAAATACAACTAATTTATACTCGAACACAACTACAAAATCTTATAAGACCTGAAACTCACCACTTTAATTTCCAATTAATTTTGAGTAAAAATGTGAAATTCCGAGGATGATATACGTGGCATTCAAGTAAATGAATAGCTCCAAAAAAAATCACGGATTCCAAGAGAAGTAGAAGCTGCCTGATCAATCCTGATTCCTGCAAAGAAGAAGATAGAGTTTTCAGAGCAAAAGTCAGAGCAAAAAGACAAAAACTTTAACCAAATTATTTGAATTAATTTTAAAATTTCAACACTAAAATAATTAAATTTAAAGAAAGGGAGGTTAAATTAGATCCAATGAAACCCAAAAAAAGCAAAAAAATTGATGGGAATTAAGAAGAGAATCTCAGTTTCTAGTACATTTTTTACCTGATAAAAATACTGTAGTGGAATTTAAATTATGGCCAGCTCAAAAGAGTAAGAGTGCAGTAGCAGAGGAGAGAGAAAATGTGCAAAAGAAAATTAAAGAGAAGTGAGAGTGGTCTCATCTCATCTCAACTTCATAGCTAGCTCTGCAAATTCTAAATTTTGAGCTTCAATAAGTGAGATTATTATTCAATGCTTTTTGCTTATTTTAGGGTGTCCCTATCCATCACCATTATTTAATTATTATTATTATAATCTTCATTTTTTTTTAAATCGAGAATAAACCTTTTTTAGGGCCTTTTCTTATTGACTGAACTGAACTGAATTGAATTGAACTGAACTGAATTGAAATGCATATTTTATAAGAGAAGAAAATTAGGAGTTGAACTGAACTGAACTGGAAATAAACGTATGAGAACATACCCTTTCCTGAATAATGATAAAATACAAATTAATTTGCTATATAAGACGGTTTACAAACTATTTCCACAACACTGTAGGATCAGTTTCTAAGTTTGGAATTTGGCCATATACAACTACTAATACCACTAGAGGGTCTACGTATAGAACTGCTAATATCATTAGAGGTTCTACTTTGAAGCTATCTCGTTCACTTTAGCTTCACTTCTGCTAGATTATCTAATAACACTAATAATCCAAATTAAATTGAACCGCTAATAATATAGAACCACTAATGGTATAAAAGGTATTACGTAAAGAACCGCTAATAATAATAAAGGTTCTATAGGTACTAGTAGAGGTTCTATATTAACTAACATTTATACTTGCAAATACCATGTGAACAGTATTATGGGAAATAGTTTTTAAACCAATGTAAATTAGGAATTAGTTTATATTATTACATTATTTTGGGATTTTAGGAAATCACTCCCTTATATGTGTATAATTGAGATGATTGAATTAGCCTTTAGTCTTTTAAGCTGTTAAGGTTTGCTCTTTAAAATTTGTTTTGCTGAGTGTAAATAAGTTGATCTGATTTGCTGACACCCTGTATTGTTAAACTTTGTTGAAATCTGATTTGCTCTGCTTACTAGTTTAAAAGAACAGCTGAACAGGATCTAGCTAACTAATCCAAGTAAAGTGAGACGAATACAGTATATATCACTGTATAAGTAACGAGTTTGAATACGAATGTACTGGTTGGGTTAGTTTCAGCTTCATTAAATTTAAGCTAGTTGACTTGTACTCAAATGTCTTGAATTGAATTAATCAAAATCAGACTCAAAATGAATCTCTTAGTTGTACACGTACATCAAACATAATTTTTAATAGAGTAAACAAAAAAAGGACTGAGAAATTAAAATAGATACTGACCTCAATAAGCAGGACATATTTTGATCTCATTTTAAAAGTTGTTTGGGTCCAATTTAGTCCAATTGGGCCTGGTCACTGAATGATCCAATTAAAAGCCCAAGGTTAAGGTTCAACTCTCCAAATGTGCTAAAGTCAAAAATCAACATCCTCAAAGCCATGTCAAGGTCAGTCAACGGCCCAATCAGCTTGGCCCAGCCCAACTGACTTCCGGGCCCAATCCGCCTCCTTCATTAGCCAAGGTATAAAAGCCAACAATTTGGTCAATTCTTGGTAAGACAATAAAGCCTCAAGCAACTAAACTCTTGCACAGCTTTCTCTCTCTAATATACTGACTTAAGCATCGGAGGGGCCTTCCTCGGCGTCCCCCCCGAGGCTAGTTTACGTGTATTTGTTGTGCAGGAAACCCTCGGCTCCTGCGTCGTTCGGACCGAGACCAAGTTCCCTCAAGATAAAAGGATCTTCCGAGATTCGATTGTTTTCATCCGAAACAATTTGGCGCCGTCTGTGGGGAACGCTACTAAATTTCGCGTCAGTCATCAAACACTCCGGCAGTCGCCATGACTAAGAGTGGAAAGAGTTCCAAGAAGGCTAAGAAGGGAGGAGGCCAGATTACGGTGAGGGAACGCCAGCCGGTTTATCCCTCCCCGGAGCAAGCCTCTTCCGAATCGGAGGCCCCCATTTCTCCGGAAAGGGAAGCCTCAAGAGGTCCTAGCCTCCAGGAGGAGAACACCTCGCACCACACTCGGCAGCCGGGGCCATCCCCGAGACCGAGTGGCTCAGGTGCGAGGAACTCCCCGCCGCGCCATAGCGTGCAATCCAGGTCACATCCGCGGGAGACTCCTCCCTCCGGACCCTCCACCGAGGAAGTGGCCAGAGCAGTGGCCATCTGCATGGAGTTCCTTAAAGCTCAAGGGGCTCCAATCCAGATGCCTGATGATCACCAGCCGAGAAACCTGAAAAGGAGGATCGGTCAGGATGATGGTGGACAAGTTCCACCACATAGGCAGCTCGGCCAGAGGTGGCGAGGGGACACCCGAAACTCCAGTAAGGAGAGGAGGAGGAACCCTCAACCCTCTGACCACTCTGAAGCTCAGAATTCCATGGGGCCCTCCAAGGACCCGGAATTCGCCCGCCGAAGCGTTCACGAACGCTTGGGTTCGAGGGAGGTGAGTGTGCATAGCCGCCTCACCTTCCCAGAGGATACCGGACCCCACCCAACCTTGTCTCAGCCGGGGACGAAAACCACTTCCACCTCTGAGAGAGGAGGGAGCGAGGTCCCTGAGGCTGGGTACAAGGGGAAGGCGGTCATGGTTCCATCGAACTCGCCCTTCCAGAAGTGGATTCTGGAAGAGCATGTGCCAACGGTCAAAATCCCGGCACATATTACTTACGATGGTACCTCAGATCCTAAGGATCACGTTGCCTCTTACGAGGGGCACATGTATCTGAACCCGAGGTCTGAGGCTACCTGGTGTAAATACTTTCCTACGACCCTCAAAGGTGTTGCCCAATCCTGGATCACCAAAGGGCTCAAGGAAGGCTCCATAACCGGTTGGAACGACCTCTCCAACAAGTTCAAGAGCAAATTCTCTACGGCCAACCGCCGAGAGAAGACCACTGCAGAGCTAATGAGTCTGCAGCAGGCGGAGGACGAGAGCCTCCGCGACTATCTGACTCGCTTCAGCAACGAGTCATCCGGAATCACAAGCCTGGATCAAGGCCTGGCCGTGTTCGCGCTACGGAACGGCCTCCAAGTTGGAAAGTTCCTGGACTTCATGGTCATGCATCCCCCGCAGACCCTGGAGGAAGCCTTGGAAGCATCGGATAGGTTCATCCGAGCCGAGGAGTGGAACAGATCCAGGTCTCAGTCTCGTCCGAGAATTGAGAAGCCGAAAGGGCAGCAGCCCGAAGTCTCGGCGCAGAGGAAAGGGAAGGCTAAGGCCTCAGAACCGTCCTCTGCTGCCGAGCCGAAGAAGGAAAGACACTTTCCCAACACGGGAAGGTACGATTCATACACTCCACTCTCCCTTCCCCGTGCTAAGATTTTCAGCACGACGAAGGACGAGGGGAGATTCAAAAAACCTCGTCCGTTGCCTCCCTGGCATCAGACGAGGGGAAAGGACCAGTGGTGCGAGTTCCATGACTCACCCGGACATCGCACCGAGGACTGCGTCCAGCTGAAGGACCAGATTGAGGATCTGGTCCGCAAGGGGTACCTGAGCCAATACCTCGCGGACAGGCGCGAGGAGAAAAAAGCTGAAAAAGATTCTCGGCAGGACCTCAACTTCGCTCGGAAGAAGGATAAGGGACCTCAGGGCAAGGAGTCCCTCGACATCCTGGTTATTTCCGGGGGAATCTCGCAAGGCACAGCCAAACGCCAACTGAGGGGTCTAACCCATCAGATTCATCAGGCTGAGCTTCGGCAGTCCCAGTCACCGGCGCCGAACATCCTGTTCACAGCCGAAGACTGTGAGGGGGTGGTATACCCCCACGATGACCCACTAGTAATCATTCTGGGCATCGCCAACCGCAACGTCTGGCGGACCCTCGTCGACGGCGGTAGCGGGGCGAACATCCTCTTCCGAGGAGCGTTCGACCAGCTGAGGATGGGAGCCGAGCACCTGGCCCCCGCACCCTACCCGGTGTCTGGATTCAACGGCTCTTCATCGTATCCTGACGGGAAGATTACACTTCCTGTCACCATCGGCGAAGGCCGAGCAGCTAGGAATATCATGGCCGAATTTTTGGTCGTAGATGCTCCATCTGCATACAACGTGATCATGGGGAGACCCCTCATTCACGGCATTCAAGGAGTCGTCTCCACGTATCATCAAATCATGATATACGTTTCAGACGAGGGACGCTCCGAGAAAATAAAGGGCAGTCAAAAAGAAGCCCGCCGATGCAATCACCTCAAGCCATCCACGTCTCGCCGAGGCGACCGTGGCGATGGGGAGGAAAAGCACCGGGGCCGAAACGCCAAAAAGCCGAGAGGCTCAGACGTTTCGGCTAATGAAGCCCCAGACAACGAGAAATCTGATGGGGGCCAAAAGGCTGACTCCGCCTCAGAGCCGAACGACTCTGATGGCCAGCCGCGGTCAGGAAAGTCTGCTAATATTGATAGCAGGCCGGAATTCGAGGAATCCAACTCTAAGAGCATGGAGACGGATGACCTGACCGAGTCAATAGAACTGACCGTAGGAGATCCGAACAGATGTGTTAGCATCGGGTCGTCACTGGAGCCAAACACCCGTGCGGCACTCGTCCAACTCCTACGGGCCAGTGGAGACGTGTTCGCCTTCTCAGCCGCAGAAATGCCCGGGATTGATCCGGACTTCGTCTCCCATAGGCTTAATGCCGACCCCTCCAGTCGACCCATTAAGCAGAAAAAGCGGAACTACTCCGCCGAAAAGAACCAGAACATCGCAGCTGAGGTCGATAAGCTCCTAGATGCTGGGTTCATTGAACCCTGTCAGTATCCGGAGTGGCTGGCCAATGTTGTAATGGTTCAGAAGGCAAATGGTAACTGGAGGATGTGCGTTGACTTCACGGACCTGAATAGGGCATGTCCCAAGGACTCCTATCCGCTGCCGAGGATCGACCAACTGGTCGACTCGACAAGCGGGCATGCTCTGCTCAGTTTCATGGACGCATTCTCGGGATACCATCAGATCTTCATGCACCCCGAGGACCGAGCTAAAACAGCGTTCATAACAAGTTCCGGGTTGTACAATTACAGAATGATGCCCTTCGGATTGAAAAATGCGGGGGCAACATATCAGAGGTTGGTTGATCAGGTTTTCGCCGAGCAAAAAGGCCGAAACATGGAGGTTTATGTTGACGACT